TGCGTGCGTGTGCGATCGCGCGCGCTTGCGTAAATTAGTGTGGGTGTGCTCGTGCTAGTATGTGATGGCTATCGCCGATCATCCCCCCACTCCTCGGTACAGATTTACGCCCCTGTGTCAAAGGATTAGTAAAAACCCGAGTTGGCCGTGAGAGAGGGAGAGAGAGAGAAGGGTGGAGAGTTAAGCCACTCGCCTGCGAACAGTGGCCCGCCACGTACATCCCCTTCTCCAAAAGTGATGTCAAAGGATTAGTAAAACCCGAGTTGGCCGTGAGAGAGGGATAGAGAAAGAGAGAGAGAGAGAGAGAGAGAGAGAGAGAGAAGGGTGGAGAGTTAAGCCCCTCGCCTGTGAACAGTGGCCCGCCACGTACATCCCCTTCTCCAAAAGTGATGTCAAAGGATTAGTAAAACCCGAGTTGGCCGTGAGAGAGGGAGAGAGAGAGATAGAGAGAGAGAAGGGTGGAGATTTAAGCCCCTCGCCTGCGAACAGTGGCCCGCCACGTACATCCCCTTCTCAAAAAGTGATGTCAAAGGATTAGTAAAACCCGAGTTGGCCGTGAGAGAGGGAGAGAGAGGTAGAGAGAGAGAAGGGTGGAGATTTAAGCCCATCGCCTGCGAACATCCCCTTCTCCAAAAGTGATGTCAAAAGATTAGTAAAACCCGAGTTGGCCGTGAGAGAGGGAGAGAGAGATAGAGAGAGAGAAGGGTGGAGATTTAAGCCCCTCGCCTGCGAACAGTGGCCCGCCACGTACATCCCCTTCTCAAAAAGTGATGTCAAAGGATTAGTAAAACCCGAGTTGGTCGTGAGTGAGGGTGGAGAGTTAAGCCCCTCGCCTGCAAACATCCCCTTCTCCAAAATGATGTCAAAAGATTAGTAAAACCCGAGTTGGCCGTGAGAGAGGGAGAGATAGATAGAGAGAGAGAGAAGGGTGGAGAGTTAAGCCCCTCGCCTGTGAACAGTGGCCCGCCACGTACACCCCCTTCTCCAAAAGTGATGTCAAAGGATTAGTAAAACCCGAGTTGGCCATGAGAGAGGGAGAGAGAGAGGGAGAGGAAGAGAGAAGGGTGGAGAGTTAAGCCCCTCGCCTGCGAACAGTGGCCCGCCACGTACATCCACTATGAATATGACTTACCAAGAAAGCGGACAAAATATACAGTTCCTCAGGTAGACAAAGGAACAACCCTTCACTGCTATTATGTACAAATGTGTAGAACATGTGTCACATGCACATTCACCTTTATACATAATAGCAACGAAGGGATGTTCCTTTATCTACCTGAGGAACTGTATATTTTGTCCGCTTTCTTTGTGGTCATGTTCATAGCGCCTTCTCCAAAATTAAAACCCGAGTTGGCCGTGAGAGAGGGAAAGAGAGAGAGAGAGCTATAGCACTAGAGAGAAAAAGAGAGCTAGCTAGAGAGAGAGAGAGAGAGAGAGAGAGAGAAGCCTGAGAAGAAGAAGAAGAAAAAGCAAGGTCAGAGATATAGAAAGACATGAAAGAATACAAGACGGGGGAGGGCACGAAACATTGTACAATGGATATTTTGTTCAATTATTAATTGTGTCGTCATAATTATTGTGTCGTCATCACGTAGACCTACACAGCCGGTCATCAACTGTTTGTTTTCCATATCAACACCGTTTGAGGCGCGGCCAAATCCTACGTGTGCCCACATTTGAACCCTAATTGATATACTTTGATATAATTCATCGGGCTTTACCGCAACAAATTACCCCCGCAGACGCCAAGGTTCCCAAAAGAGGCACTGCATCATGATGTGCAGGATGTGCTTGTAGGCCTACAAAAGACGTCCTTCCGTAAATTGATAAATTCTAATTGGGTTTGAACAAGTAGAAGATACGTCTTCCAGCATCGAGTTACTGTGGAAGACTACACGTACATTCCTACCAAAGTTATAACATTAATCGAAGTAGATTAACCCTCCTAGTGCCACGATAGTGCAAGGGAGTTTATGCATGGCATCATGCGTGTAGCGGGAAGGAAAGGCTTATATTCCGCATCAAACACACACCCACACTAACACCGCAACTGTCTACACCCACACATACTCAATGCAACATTCACATGCACATAAACATACCGGAAATCCATATTTACGGATGTTTAAATAAACATTGAAGGAGTGAAGGCCTATACATGTCATAAAGTTTTCAATGGAAAGCAACGGATTTGATTTTTGATAACTAGTATCTATCTCATTATTATTTTGAATAGGTCAATTTTATTTTCGATTTGATCAGCCTTTCAATAGTATAAAGTAAGCTCAACAAATTTGAAGACGTTTATGTGAGTATATGCTTCGTATGTATTACTATATTATAATCATTATCATGAATTAGGGAAAAGGAAAACACGTTTGAAATTATCTGATGTTATAATCTCGAGTTCTAAGAAGGGGGCGGGGTGAGGAAGTCTTCCCCCTCTGTCAGCCCCTCCCCTTTCCTGACACCTCATACACCTACAAGATAATTTCGTTAAAGGAAACCTCACCCCAATAAATAACTTAATTTATTCTGAGATATTTATTATATTCTTGCTCATTAATCTACAAGATTACCCACCAAAGTGTAATACGAAAGAGGCATACAGAGAGAAAATGGTGCTAAGGTAGTGACTCCAATGCTAGATGTGCAATTAAAGATAATCTGAAAAATTCAGTGAAAACAGACCATAGACCTTATTGATATTGGGAAAACTGATACCACAGTGATCGATTCCTGAATTCTATATTATTATAATTTAATTTAATTTTAGGTGAATGCAAATCGTCACAAAGCAATGAACTCGCTGTGTATACCATTCCTACATTTAAGATTTTTAAAAGCCGAATAATGTCTTATTTTCATAGAAAAACGGTTGAGATAATTCAAAAATTGGTTGGGAGAATGCATTGTTAAAGGGAGTTACACCTTGACGCCTTCAAAGAAAACCATAAATATATTTGATGTATATAATAAGTAACATTCCATAAAAAACATTTGGAGTTTTTTTTTCATCAACCTCCAACAATGTTACCGGTTCACCCCGCGTTTGATTATTCCTAACCAGGATATTGGCTCGGTTCCAAAACGTATCTAAAGGCAATAGGTGGGGTTATTCACACGTTGAGAAAAATAAAGGTTTGGATCTCGGTCCAGACCTCACTTTCTCGCGTACATGTGAACGTGCCTTATGTTAACATTAAATTGCCATGTGGTCATAAATAATTCATGAATGGGTGTGGTGGAGATTTAAATCACGCTTGGTTTTCCGCTCATTGAGATTCATCATTATAGAGTTAAAAACGTCCTGACGAATATTGAAACCGTTAACAATTCATAACTGGTAAAAAGTCCCAGACGATCAATGGGGGGGGGGGGGGGGGGATTGTGTGATGTTTTATTTCTCTGTACTTCCCTTTTCTTCTTCTCATTCGTATCTATATTGTGTTGATTTATTGTTGTGATTCAAATGTAAACATTCAATTTGTTGAGTTTTAGTTATAAATGAAATTTGAAGAAAAATGGTACGTACAGTGTGTAATAGCCCTTCTGTGAATTACATTCAATTTAAATTACCGATGTTGTAATATGGCATACAACTAAACAATAATTGTAAGGCGACATGCATGGTTAACTATTTTTCTTCAATTTTCCTTATACTTATATATATATATATATACTTATATAACATAACTTTAAAAAAAAGTACAATGTCACTTCAAAAAGATAAGAAACGTTATTACTCAGATTATCTCAAGGCTTTCTGACAGCGGCTTTCGCAGGTTGCGGTTCACTTGATATGTTTTCCTCCGTTGAAGTTCTAACAGCGTATTTGATTGGTGGAAATGGGCTAAATAGAGAGAGGCGTATTTTAATTACACAAAAGTTAATTGACCGCCAACTTGGCAGCGCCAAGTGAGCATTCAGAATACAGATTTGGGGGTCCGTTAGCGCTCAACTGAGGAATTAATGCAGAGGAAAGTTTAAAGCAAAGTTAAATGAATGTTCAGAATATAGCCCCTGGTGTGTTGATGTCAGATATTCAAGAGTAAGAAACTCATGTAGACCCGGATAACACCTATACCTGTATGTACTGTGTATGTGTTCCTCTTTCCAATTTCCTGTTTTTTTTTTTATTCATGCAGAATCCAGTTGAAAAGATATTGATGACGTATGAAAGGTATGACTCGATGTCGATGGTATGCCAGACATGTGATATTATTATATGATTCACTCGAATCAATATTTAACTGTACTCCGTCTACCAATCATGACAATAGCTCTCATGAGAAGAAAAATAAGGACATAATAACATGAAAAACCACAGTTTATTTACTTATTACGGGATGGAAAGGCGGCGAGAACACGGTTTCAGTCGAACGGATGAATTGCCTCCTCCTCCCCCGTACTATAATACTGACTGTGGTCTTGAGTCCCACTGGACTGGTGGTGTTTAATTCTCACTTGATCCGATTTTGTAATATAGATTTCAATTTCGTCATATCGAAATAGAATATCGGTGTGCGGAACAACCGAATAAAAAGAGAAAACGGCTGGCCCTAGCTTGTTATTATGACGTGTATGATCGATATCTGTCCCACCCAGTAGCGGATCCATGATTCTCCTCTCAGAGAATCATGCATTATTCTCTGAGAGGAGGTGGGGAGGGGGTGGGGCCGGGGGGGGGGGTAACCGTAAAACAATGGGAAAAAAACTAACCAATGGTCTAAATTAGAAGCCGGGAGCACAACAAGGAAAAAGAGATGGGTACATTTTCTTTCTTAGGATAATTACGTCAGATGTGGGTTGCGGGGAGGGGGGGGGGGCGCACCCCCTCAGCCAACCCGCCAAACCTTAATCCACCTTAATAATGTACCGCTCCCCATGCATGTAATCGCCGTGAACTTCACATTCAGTCATCCTTTTATGGACATAACCCGCATAAAAATCCCTAGCTGCACTATTGAACAATAACCATGTATGGTGTTTACGTCAAATATAGATCTTCACACATGCAGGCTGGTGCACTCGATCCGCAATATTTGTATTACATATCATTCACATTATGATACATGCAAGGAGATGCATGTGCAGTATGTCACGCTTAACCGTTGTGAATACATCGACATAATACAATCTGGACATAGAGGCCTAGTGTCTAATTTGCAAAGTTTATAACTTCCAGAGTTGCACAGAATGGATGGTAGCGGGAGATGGTGTGGTATGCCAGCTTGGTTGTTTACGGTGGCGCTCATGGCATTCACGGTTCATATCGCACAAGGAGAAGGTAAGTCAAAGGGATAGTCAACTTTATATTTGGAGTAAAAGATACAACTTTTTTCTTCAATGAAGTTGGGATAACTTTGTATAACCTTTGTTCATACAATGATTCTGACAACATCATTAGGCTAGTATATTCTCGATAGATAAAGGTTTAAGATTCTCATAAAATGTATTGATCAATCTAAAAAGTCACAGAGAGATAACTCTATAGTTCCTAAAAGATATAAATCAGTATTTTCATAATCATTTCTTTTCCTGAAAAGAGGTTTAAACAAAAAATATTCCAAATTTATGAGTCAAAGTGTATTTGGAGTTGAATAGAAACTGTCTTTATTGTGCGGTTATCCATCATTGTTACAGCGCTTAGAGACTTCGGTGGTAAGCGCTTTATAAGTAAAGTTTTTATTATTATTATTGTTATCATAACCTGCTCTAAGAGTTTCTTTGTTAACTTTGGAACCGTCTGAAATTTTACAATCACATTTATTTTTATTCTTCTTGTTAAAATACAGTACACCGTGTATTGGTTGATTCCTTACATGTACATGCATATACATATTAAATACACATGTGAACGTAAACAATAATTATCCAAATCAAAAATAAAATAAATCGATGGCTGGATTGCTCTATTCACAGCCATTGATATATATAGCGAACAATGCCTTATCGGTACCCGTTGGTCCCCCATTGTCCCCTTTTTCTTATGTTAACTGAGCGCTGATTTGATGAGATAGGCCTAACTACCTGTCAGTGACCATGCAAGGAGGTCTAATCCCTCCTGGCCAAACGTGTGCAGATATGCTTTAAAGGTCCAGAAATATTTAACCAGATAAATCAATACCAGAAAGTATTACAGCAAGGAAGGAGACACTGACGCAAGGAACACATCCAATTAAAATCAAACTTTGCCTCGTTTGCTTTCCTTTGTGTTTCCGTGTGCGTTTCTCCTCAAACGGGATGACGAATGCTAAATTCTTGTTGTTTTTAAAGAAATAATTATTGTAGTCAATGACTGTATATGTTGAATATCTCCTTTCAATGTTCATGGGACTATCCCTAACATGTGACAACTCATGTAAATACAGCATTACTTTCATACACTTTCATACCATTGCCTTGTGTGTTACATTATGTTATGTTAGACATGTTTACCCACTTTTTTGAATAGATAGAATGGGATACAATTAACAATCATCTGAGCAGCAGCAAACCAATTTGATTGGTCTATTTGAGACACCCCTTGCAGGGAATGCTGGTGTGACCATGCAGCTGCCTAAAAGTATATGTTGATGTGAATTGGCTATTAAAGCCACATTGTCCTATTTGTAGCTACTTGCTCCCTCTATATACAAAACAATGCCTAATCGGTGACCATTGGTCCCCCATGATCCTCTTTTTCTTATGTTATTTGAGAGCTGAGTTGATGAGATAACCACCTGTCCAGTGACCTTGCAGGGTGGTCTAATCCCTCCTATAAAATAGTACAGATAAGCTTTAATTGTTCGCAGTTGCTCAATATATGTATAACAAATAAATATCCAGTCAATATAAATGTTATTGTTAGGACACAAATAAAGGCATTATTATGCCCCCGGAAAATTCATTATTATTTTTTTTTCTTCTCAATTTAGATCCAGATACCACTCCACCGAATGTGACGTGTACTGACGTCACAACGAGGCCCTTTTTACCGAACAGTTTTCTTGGACTGAATGCGGGTGTTGAATACACGTACGAGGATTCAAACCCTGATCCCAGTGGGGTTACTTATAACGTAACCAAAGGACCAAGCGGAGATCTGTTCCCGCCCGGACCCGCCCCGGTGACGATGTACGCGGTCGACATATTTGATAACGAGGCGACATGTCTTTTCTACGTGGAAAATACGCGTAAGTATCGAAATGGATCAATAGCCCACGAGCAAAGGCTCCCCCCCCCCCCCCACTCCGGGGTGCGTTATTTTTTTCGGCGGCACAAATTGGGGTTAGGTGCGTGTTGAGCCTATGGGAAAGTTTAGGGTTAGGGTTAGGGTTAGGGTTAAATCAAGACCCTTTTTTAAAGCCCCAATCTGTGCCGCAGAAGAAAATAACGCTTCCGGGGTCGGAGGGACCGCATTCATGTTCCCAAAATGTCCGGTAAAGAGGTACTTTTCACGCAACAAAAGTCCGGCTCGTAATACACACCAAAAAAAAATCTGCCCGTATTGACTTTACACACCGGACTTAGGGGGTGTTTTCAAAGAGAGGGAACATGCACGCGTACCCTTAATAATACTGAGAGGGGGTGGAGGGGGGGGGGGTTTCTCCCCCGCTTTGTATTAAGTTTGGGAAAAAGAAGCAATCCAGAGTTTTGAGAACGTAAAGATCTGGCAGGTTTGTAGCGATTCACCAAAGAAATATTGTTATATTGAACAGTGCCACGAACACAATAAAACAATGGAGTACTTTAAGAACCAGACATATGACTGGGTTGTTGGAGAGGTTAACAATTACCAGCAGCAGTATTCTACATTGTATATTTGGCAAACTGAGTGAGAGAACGGTTGAACAAAAGAGTATTTTTTGGCCTAACACTTTATAAAACCAATGAGCCGGTACGGGAATTAACCTAGATATGTCATCCATTGTGTGCGTCAGATAAAATATTGCGAGCTGATTTTATAGTTATCAGTTCCGTTTTGCTTTTTAGTTTGATAATTGTTATGACCCTATTTGGCATGTTTGGATCGGTGTGGAGGGTGTGACCGTGTGACTGGATGTAATGCATTCAATTTCAAAAGTTTGTGCATACAATTAATGTAATTTTAGACCTTCTTTGAAGTAGCAGTTCTCAAGGGATTTTTTGTTGCTGGGGGGGGGGGGGGGGGTTCTGGCCAGCTGAAGCTCCACCCCCTTAAAAAAAAACCTTCAAGCCCTCAAATATTTCGCGAGGCCAATGTAGAAAATCAATACAAGAGCCCTAAGCCCCTGATGAGCTACTACCCCAAAAGATAATAGCTTCTATCTACTCTTCTAGCTCGGACCTCTATTTCAAAACAACCCCTGTAACTTGCTCCCAAATAAACGAATAACTCGATTTGTTTTCCTTCCACTGTATAGTGACTGAGCTACCAGTGAATTGCCCAGACCTGAACAGAACGGTCGCCACTGACATGGGACTGCCCACATATTCTTACACCCCTTCCATAGAGGCCAGTGACGTCACAAAGTCCACTTCCGGGTACAGATACCACGGAGGTGCAGTTTCTGTGGATCCTACAACGGCCATTGGTAGCAAGCTAGATGTCGGTACCCATCTAGACACAGTCTTGATTTCGGATGAGGTGCTGAGTAAGACGTGCATAGGGTATATTGTTGTACAGGGTAGGTTGTTTGAACTAAAAAAATGTCTGACTTATCTTAATGATAATCATCATAATGACAATACATTGGCGGATCTACGGGGGGGGGGGGGGTAATAAAAATGTAATGTGCATAGAAACACGTATAGATGCCAGGAAAACATCACTTACGTGGGTTCAAAATAGCACCCCAAAATTTCACCTCGCCGCATCGTCATTGGGTCAAACCCCCCTTAGCAAAAAGCTATATCCGCCCCTGTAATATAATGGTAATGATGGTCATAACAATAAATTATACTCACTTTCAATGTTATTTCTATCATCAATATATTTACCATCATTGTTTTAAACAATTTTGATTGTGATTACGATTACGATTATTGTTATTGTTATCGTTATATTGCTATTATTGTTATTATTGTGGTCATTATTGGTGTCATGAGTGTTGCTTTTGTTTGCTATATTATAACTATATTCATGATACAATTATTAATGGTAATATCTTATCGCTATTTGTCTTATTTTTATCATCATTTGTTATTGTATTTATTTATTAATAGTAGTAGTAGTAGTAGTAGTAGTAGTATAGTAGTAGAAGTATAATTGTTATTTTCAACAACCTCATCATTGGTAATATGATTATGATCCATATCATCATTTTGAATTAAATTCTTGTGATTGTTACATTAGTTAGTAGTAGTACCATCGCGATGATTATTTATGTGTAATATCATATCTCCTTTCTGTACTTATTTGAAGTTCAATTAAATACCATGTGTCATTTATTTTAAAAAACGCTGTGATAAAGTTGTATATTATGTGGAGTCTACTATAAATGCCAGTTATATTTTTATGATTATTATCATGTCCAGTGACCTTGCAGGATGGTCTAATCCCTCCTATAAAACATTACATATAAGCTTTAATTGTTCGCAGTTGCTCAATATATGTATAGCAAATATATATCCAGTCAATATACATGTTATTGTTAGGACACAAATAAAGGCATTATTATGCCCCCGGAAAATTCATTATTAATTTTTGTTCTTCTCAATTCGAATTCAGACACCACTCCACCGAATGTGACGTGTACTGACGTCACAACGAGGCCCTTTTTACCGAACAGTTTTCTTGGACTGGGTGTGGGTATTTCGTACACGTACGAGGATTCAAACCCTGATCCCAGTGGGATTACTTATAACGTAACCAAAGGACCAGGCGGAGATTTGTTCCCGCCCGGACGCACCCCAGTGACCATGTACGCAGTCGACATATTTAATAACAGGGCGACATGTCTTTTCTACGTGGAAAATACGCGTAAGTATCTAGATGGATCCCACGAGCGAAGGCTCTCTCGATCCCCCACTTTGTATTAAGTTTGGGAAAAACAAGCAATGAACAGTTTTGGGAACGTAAAGATCTGGCAGGTTTGTAGCGATTAATCAAAGAAATATTGTTATGTTGAACAGAGCCATGACTCACAATGAAACATAAGCAAAAGAAGTTTGAAAGCAATACGTTCTTTTATGGGTAACCAATGGAGTACCTTAAGAACCAGACACGTGACTGTGTTGTTGGAGAGGGTAACAATAACCAGCAGCAATATTCTGCACTGTATATTTGGCAAACTGAGTGGGAGAACGGTTGAACAAAAGAGTATTTTTTGCCCTTCTATAAAATAAACCAACGAGCCGGTACGGGGATTAACCTAGATATGTCATCCATTGTGTGCGTCAGATAAAATATTGCGAGCTAATTTTATAGTTATCAGTTCCGTTTTGCTTTTAAGATTGATAATTATTATGACCCTATTTGGCATGTTTGGATCGGTGTGGAGGGTGTGACCGTGTGACTGGATGTAATGCATTCAATTTCAAAAGTTTGTGCATACAATTAATGTAATTTTAGACCTTCTTTGAAGTAGCAGTTCTCAAGGGATTTTTTGTTGCTGGGGGGGGGGGGGGGGGTTCTGGGCAGCTGAAGCTCCACCCCCTTAAAAAAAAAACCTTCAAGCCCTCAAATATTTCGCGAGGCCAATGTAGAAAATCAATACAAGAGCCCTAAGCCCCTGATGAGCTACTACCCCAAAAGATAATAGCTTCTATCTACTCTTCTAGCTCGGACCTCTATTTCAAAACCATCCCGTCTAACTTGCTCCCAAGTAAACGAATAACTCGATTTGTTTTCCTTCCTCTGTATAGTGACTGAGCTACCAGTGAATTGCCCAGACCTGAACAGAACGGTCGCCACTGACATGGGACTGCCCACATACTCTTACACCCCTTCCATAGAGGCCAGTGACGTCACAAAGTCCACTTCCGGGTACAGATACCACGGAGGTGCAGTTTCTGTGGATCCTACAATGGCCATTGGTAGCAAGCTAGATGTCGGTACCCATCTAGACACAGTCTTGATTTCGGATGAGGTGCTGAGTAAGACGTGCATAGGGTATATTGTTGTACAGGGTAAGTTGTTTGAACTAAAAAAAATGTCTGACTTATCTTAATGATAATCATCATAATGACAATACATTGGCGGATCTACGGGGGGGGGGGGGTGTAATAAAAATGTGATGTGCATAGAAACACGTATAGATGCCAGAAAAACATCACTTACGTGGGTTCAAAATAGCAACCCAAAAATTTCACCTCGCCGCATCGTCATTGGGTCAAACCCCCCCCCCCCCTTAGCAAAAAGCTATATCCGCCCCTGTAATATAATGGTAATGATGGTCATAACAATAAATTATACTCACTTTCAATGTTATTTATATCATTAATATATTTACCATCATTGTTTTAAACAATTTTGATTGTGATTACGATTACGATTATTGTTATTGTTATCGTTATATTGCTATTATTGTTATTATTGTGGTCATTATAGGTGACATGAGTGTTGCTTTTGTTTGCTATATTATAACTATATTCATGATATAATTATTAATGGTAATATCTTATCGCTATTTGTCTTATTTTTATCATCATTTGTTATTGTATTTATTTATTAATAGTAGTAGTAGTAGTAGTAGTAGTAGTATAGTAGTAGAAGTATAATTGTTATTTTCAACAACCTCATCATTGGTAATATGATTATGATCCATATCATCATTTTGAATTAAATTCTTGTGATTGTTACATTAGTTAGTAGTAGTACCATCGCGATGATTATTTATGTGTAATATCATATCTCCTTTCTGTACTTATTTGAAGTTCAATTAAATATCATGTGTCATTTATTTAAAAAAACGCTGTGATAAAGTTGTATATTATGTGGAGTCTACTATAAATGCCAGTTATATTTTTATGATTATTATCATGTCCAGTGACCTTGCAGGATGGTCTAATCCCTCCTATAAAACATTACATATAAGCTTTAATTGTTCGCAGTTGCTCAATATATGTATAGCAAATATATATCCAGTCAATATACATGTTATTGTTAGGACACAAATAAAGGCATTATTATGCCCCCGGAAAATTCATTATTAATTTTTGTTCTTCTCAATTCGAATTCAGACACCACTCCACCGAATGTGACGTGTACTGACGTCACAACGAGGCCCTTTTTACCGAACAGTTTTCTTGGACTGGGTGTGGGTATTTCGTACACGTACGAGGATTCAAACCCTGATCCCAGTGGGATTACTTATAACGTAACCAAAGGACCAGGCGGAGATTTGTTCCCGCCCGGACGCACCCCAGTGACCATGTACGCAGTCGACATATTTAATAACAGGGCGACATGTCTTTTCTACGTGGAAAATACGCGTAAGTATCTAGATGGATCCCACGAGCGAAGGCTCTCTCGATCCCCCACTTTGTATTAAGTTTGGGAAAAACAAGCAATGAACAGTTTTGGGAACGTAAAGATCTGGCAGGTTTGTAGCGATTAATCAAAGAAATATTGTTATGTTGAACAGAGCCATGACTCACAATGAAACATAAGCAAAAGAAGTTTGAAAGCAATACGTTCTTTTATGGGTAACCAATGGAGTACCTTAAGAACCAGACACGTGACTGTGTTGTTGGAGAGGGTAACAATAACCAGCAGCAATATTCTGCACTGTATATTTGGCAAACTGAGTGGGAGAACGGTTGAACAAAAGAGTATTTTTTTGCCCTTCTATAAAATAAACCAACGAGCCGGTACGGGGATTAACCTAAATATGTCATCCATTGTGTGCGTCAGATAAAATATTGCGAGCTGATTTTATAGTTATCAGTTCCGTTTTGCTTTTAAGATTGATAATTATTATGACCCTATTTGGCATGTTTGGATCGGTGTGGAGGGTGTGACCGTGTGACTGGATGTAATGCATTCAATTTCAAAAGTTTGTGCATACAATTAATGTAATTTTAGACCTTCTTTGAAGTAGCAGTTCTAAAGGGATTTTTTGTTGCTGGGGGGGGGGGGGGTTCTGGGCAGCTGAAGCTCCACCCCCTTAAAAAAAAACCTTCAAGCCCTCAAATATTTCGCGAGGCCAATGTAGAAAATCAATACAAGAGCCCTAAGCCCCTGATGAGCTACTACCCCAAAAGATAATAGCTTCTATCTACTCTTCTAGCTCGGACCTCTATTTCAAAACCATCCCGTCTAACTTGCTCCCAAGTAAACGAATAACTCGATTTGTTTTCCTTCCTCTGTATAGTGACTGAGCTACCAGTGAATTGCCCAGACCTGAACAGAACGGTCGCCACTGACATGGGACTGCCCACATATTCTTACACCCTTTCCATAGAGGCCAGTGACGTCACAAAGTCCACTTCCGGGTACAGATACCACGGAGGTGCAGTTTCTGTGGATCCTACAACGGCCATTGGTAGCAAGCTAGATGTCGGTACCCATCTAGACACAGTCTTGATTTCGGATGAGGTGCTGAGTAAGACGTGCATAGGGTATATTGTTGTACAGGGTAGGTTGTTTGAACTAAGAAAATGTCTGACTTATCTTAATGATAATCATCATAATGACAATACATTGGCGGATCTACGGGGGGGGGGGGGTAATAAAAATGTGATGTGCATAGAAACACATATAGATGCCAGGAAAACATCACTTAAGTGGTTTTAAAATAGCACCCCAAAAATTTCGCCTCGCCGCATCGTCATTGGGTCAAACCCCCCTTAGCAAAAAGCTATATCCGCCCCTGTAATATAATGGTAATGATGGTTATAACAATAAATTATACTCACTTTCAATGTTATTTCTATCATTAATATATTTACCATCATTATGTTAAACAATTTTGATTGTGATTACGATTATTATTATTGTTATCGTTATATTGCTATTATTGTTATTATTGTGGTCATTATTGGTGTCATGAGTGTTGCTTTTGTTTGCTATATTATAACTATATTCATGATACAATTATTAATACAAACATACATACATATTGGTATTTATTGAGCGCCTTTACATGAACATGCTCAAGGCGCTTTACATTTTAAAATACAAACATAATAGTTATATACTCTCCAAGTGCATTACACTCTAAAACAAAATGACAATTACAAAGAAAACAAATGTTTCTTAAATAATGCGATTAATGATAATATGTTATCGCTATTTGTCTTATTTTTATCATCATTTTTTATTTCATTTATTTATTAATAGTAGTAGTAGTAGTACTAGTAGTAGAAGTATTATTGTTATTGTAATTCATCATCAACAACCTCATCATTGGTTTGATTCGTATCATTATCATTTTTAAATTAAAATCTCCTTTTTGTACTTATTTGAAGTTAAATTAAATAACATGTGTCATTTATTTAAAAAAAAACGCTGTGATATAGTTGTATATTATGTGGAGCCAGTTATATTAGTAGTATTATTATTATTATCATTGTTATTATTGCATCTAAATAGATATAGAAAAACCCAGCGTGACCTGTCCGGCAGATATCACAGAGAGTTCGACCAATGTCATCCAATATTCTGCTAATGTATCTGACAATGTCGGTGCTTCCGTAACCTATTCCCCTGAGCCTGGTAGCATATTTAATCCTGGTGTTACTACGGTGTCTGTTGTGGCACGTGATCAGGCTGGGCTCAATGATACCTGCAGCTTCGTGGTCCAAGTCACCAGTAAGTTATATGTATTTAAACTCACTCGCATAAATTATTTGAATGTAGGCTTGCTGAGATATGTGCGGTAAACCGCCGCGCTGATTCATTGTTTTTATATGTTACGTGTAAATGAATGGCAATTGACCTCCGCCCCCGGCCCTACCCCATCACTCCGGGGTTGGAGGACCCCCCCCCCCCCCGCTCACCCCCACTAAGTGTTATCATAGGGTACGCGTATGCTTGTTCCATCTCTTTGCAAGAAGTGGGTAAAGTCAATACGGGCTGGAATTTTTGAAAGCACCCCAAGCTATCTCCTGTGTGTATAAGTTAATACGGGCCGAACTTTGTTGCGTGAAAAGAACCCCTTTACCGGGGATTTGGGGAATAGGAATGCGGTCCATCCGACCGCATTCGTGTTCACCCGAAATCCGAACTAGTTCATTTCTTATTTGCAATAACACGAACACCATATGCTTCAGCAAATCGTATTTATCCGGCCTTAATACAAAACGGTACATTTTTGGTAATAACGACATGATCATATTTCTTCCTAAAACCGCTGTATTGATGAAGTTGGAGTTATGTTTAATTACAATCAATGCATCAATATTTTGTTCATTTTAAATCTTCAGTTAGCGAGTTACCAGTGGAATATATTACTCCCCAAGAAACTATCCAGCTTGACTCTGCAGAATCGACCTACCAATACCCACCTATAACAGAAGATGATTTAACCCTGATGGATTCGACATATCAGTTCTATGGTGACGTCACGGTTGCTGTCATGTTCAATGGCACGCAGAATAATACCCTGTCTATAGGAACGTACATCCTCACGATCTTCATTGAAGATACTGTCTTTAACAAGACGTGCTTGACGTTGGAGTTATTGATGAAGTTGGAGTTATGTTTAATTACAATCAATGCATCAATATTTTGTTCATTTTAAATCTTCAGTTAGCGAGTTACCAGTGGAATATATTACTCCCCAAGAAACTATCCAGCTTGACTCTGCAGAATCGACCTACCAATACCCACCTATAACAGAAGATGATTTAACCCTGATGGATTCGACATATCAGTTCTATGGTGACGTCACGGTTGCTGTCATGTTCAATGGCACGCAGAATAATACCCTGTCTATAGGAACGTACATCCTCACGATCTTCATTGAAGATACTGTCTTTAACAAGACGTGCTTGACTGTGATACAAGTAGAGGAGAGGCCGTCTACAAACGGACGTTCGGGTAAGTTATTTTTATTGTTAGTATCATCATCATCAGCAACCTACAGTATTATTACATTTTTTATGATATCATTATAAAACAAATTGTCGTTAGTTAGTAGTAGCACCACGAGGCTGATGATTATCTCTGTGAAATGTCTCCTTTTTGTGCTGATTTGAAGTTAAATTTTGTAAACGCTGTAATAAAGTTGTATTAGATAGCGTAATATCAATGCAAGTTATACTATTATCTTATTATTATCATTATGATTATTATGATTATTATTATTATCATATGATTATTATAATTATTATTATTGTCATTATTTTTAAATCTGTATGAAAAACCCAACGTTACCTGCCCGGCAGATATCACAGAGAGTTCGACCAATGTTATCCAATATTCTGCCAATGTATCTGACAATGTCGGTGCTTCCGTAACCTATTCCCCTGAGCCTCGTAGCAAAAGTTCGGGTATTAAGTGAAAAGATTTTACATTCACAGGTCCCCATCGCATGAAGCTTGCCATTGATGGTAACTTTGTCATAAATAGGAACTTCCATAGAAACCTTTGGCTGTTGAGTTATGTTGCCAAGGGAAAAAATATTGATGGCAAAGCAAAACGGTAAATTTAATGCAAAATGCTAAATGTTAGTTTTTATAAACTTGGATTTAAACTCTTAATTGTCGCTCGTTTATATAATAGAATAGCATTTTGGATGATTCATTGTATGATAATAGTGTTAAATTGTGCATAATGTCGGGAGAAATTAAACGTTTTATATAAACTGAAATAAACATAAGATAAGTCCAGGTGTTGCCCCATTTTAACGTGCATTAACTCACTCGCTAAAAGCTCAAATATAAAATCAGCATTTAAAAGGGCCAATGAGTGACAACATTATTCAAAACCATGGAACGGTAGATTTTAAACGCTTTTGATAAACTGGATTAAACCTCTGTGGTGCGTGTTGATTACCACATGTTACAATTTTGTAAAAAAATTACCGTTTTGAAAATGTAGTCGCTCACCAGCCTTTTTAAATATCTACATGTATGAAAGTACCACAATGTTCATTTAATTCTGTCTTTATAAATACTTTATCCTCATGCAGGCTTCTCCACAGCCAAGTTAGCCGTCAGTGTGGTAGTCCCGTGCGCTGTTGTGCTGTTAGTCGTCTTTGTGATCGGGTTTAGGTAAGTAAAACCATAAACCTAGCGTAAAACAAAAAGAAAATGACAACTAAAGCCTAGTTCAGATATGAAAGCGGTAGGCCACGCCGTTTTTTTTTTTAATTTATTTTAATTTGTTTAAATTTTTATTGTAATTCTAATAAAACAGCTAAGTGAATACACGCAAGTCATTTTTGTTGCGCGCAGTTGCCGTTAATTTAAACGTTTACACAAATATTTACAAAAATAAAAAAATTATCGGGCTGTTTAATCCGTTAGTTCTGTACAAGCCTTAAAACTCTCTAATCACATTTGCAAAGAACATACTTCAATTAACCGAAAAAAATCAATGCTCAAACTGAAATTGAATGAAAACGTTATTGATACCAGAGAGAATACGATCCATGTACATTAAAGGCTTCTTAAATCCGACGAGATGATACAAATACAGTACTGTATCTCATAAATGTATCCAGCTGTTGATATCAGCACGTTGATACATGCACATTCCTGGTGTTACCGGGGCGCCTGTTTTAATATCATATCATTCCTCTCTACAGTGTTTACTACGTCAAGAAAAGTAAGGAAAGACGGAAGATGAAAGTCAGTCGAACCGATGGAAAACAGAGTTCTAGCACGAAGACTTCAGATGTTTAGCAGCCAATTTCCTCCGTACTTTATGCATCTCGGTCAAAGAGTGAAAGAAGACCCCGGCGATCCCGAATGCGACTGCCAATAAAAGGGATCCGGTAACTTTGTCTCCGAATTTTTGAAAAAAATCCTGGATTTAGCTCATGCTGCAATGATAATTATAAACATTTAGGTCAGTCAGGAACCCCATGACTTTTACAAGCCGATCGCCTATTTGATTATCAAGATATCTATGCTTGGAAATCGAAACCAAATGTTGCGTTTTCCAAACGTTTTTTTATAACATTACAGTCTAGTGGGGAAATTGCGTATGGTTAAACCGGTGACTCAAAGATTTTTTACTTTTTTAGGCAGTTCTTGATCATTTTGATGCGCAATTGTTTAGGGCTTCAATATAACACCATATCAGACACTGATAACACGTAATGCCGTGCATCTCAGATTTAACATTGTTAAACGATTCCTTTAAAGCTACTATTGAGCTCTGTGGATCCTTTGGCGAGAGAACATGGCTATAATTTATTCCGGATCGTTTATCCTGCAGTAGATTCATTGTTTGAATCAGAAGAATAAAAACAACCTCACAAAAATAACAATACTCCATTCTTTTGCGTGGCAGACATTTTAACAGTACTTGTGCCCATGCATGCATGGTCCTCCTGAGAAATTCATATTGAATCCGCAAAGTGATTAAGATGCATTTCAGTCAATCAAATTTATTGCTAAAATGAAATTATTAACCACGACGTAATAGTTCTGAACGCTTAACATTTCAAAACCGTTTGGCAAGTCTGTTGAAAATAAATATAATTGATGTGTATTCATGCTGTACATGTATTTCCTTTGTATATTCAATATTTCGAAGTTTACTCACCTAAGGTCACTTAATGATTCTTCCTCATGATTTTAACAGGTATATTGACATTTGATGCTGTGTGGATTTTCATTTGACTTTGTAAATTTAATTCATTCTAGGTGAAAAGTGGCATAATACCCGTTACGGAGATCGTACTTTTGCCATTGCAGCCCCTAAATTATGGAACAGTTTACCAATTATTATTCGTCAATTCCCATCTGTAGAGTCTTTTAAGGCAAGTTGGAAGTATTTTTGTTTACCGGTAATAGTAATTTATAGGGCAGTTTTAATTATCTTTAATGTTATTATTAGAATTATGCATTATTATTGCTGTATGTTTATTTCATGTTGTACCTTACTTGTATGTTAAGCGCTTAGAAACATTGTATTTAGCGCCTTATAAATGTAATTTATTATTATTATTATATGGGTTTTATTCTTCATATATTCTTTTGTCATGTGTAAATTTGCAATGTTTGTTTGTTATATATTTGTAAAAATGCAAAAGAAAAAGAAAATCAAACAGAAATAAATAAATCAAACTGAAATAAATAAATCAAATCAATTCAAATTTCTGTTAGGTAATTCATTGGCAATGGGAACCGTGATTGGGGCAAGTGCGATGGCTTAGGTATTGGCGTACATTCTCACAAAGGGAGGATGGAGGAGGGGCCTGACAACTTTTACCTGAACATCCACTCCTCAGTTTCTAAATATTTGTCACTTTTTGTAGTGAAAATAACAAATTACATATCTAAGCACCCCGAATATTCATTATAATATTGAGTTGGTGGTTGTGCGAATATTGTAACTTTAATTTTAAAGGTTAAATTCTGGTAAAGGTAAAAGACAATGTGTAAGCTTTGTCATGCTTTTTATGCCAGTTTGGATTTATATTCCTTTTTTTTTTAATGTCTCCTGAAAAGGATGGATCGTCGAATGTTTACTTTTATAACAGTACTATTATTGTCATTTTCATTATAAAATTTAATAATTTGAAACATTTTGTTCTTATATACATGTAATTTGTAAAAAGTAATAAACATTTTGTTGGTTTTAACAAAAATGAACCCCATTTGATATGACGTTGCAGTGTATTTCTATACGTAATGTACTCAATATGTATATAGCGATATATCAGATGATCTATGAATCAGCTATTAATTACGCCTACTTCATATTGTATGTAAATTCCGATCATCTCAAACATGCATAACTAGAAATTTAATGCGTTAACCATTGGCGTTCTGAGTTTGTGGGAGGAAGTATATGCTAATGGACATAGGCCATAATTATAATGTCATTGTAGCTATATTATATAGATCATCGAGACACCAAACACACTCATTAATGCGACGAATGAGTTGATGTTGTGCATGGTCTCCTATCTGGATACACCAAGTCAATATAGTCTGACGCAGTTTCTTTAATCACCGAAACAATCAAGAGATTCTGGTAAGCAAGATGAATGTCTTTCAAAAGTTCTTTTAATTATATTTTGCTTATTTCAACGCTGTTTAACTGGACTTGACGAAAGTAAAAACCGCAGATTATTATATCAATCCATAGTCGTGAGGAGCCCACTTACAAAGGAGAATATTGAGAAGTAAACAAAGGTGCAAGCGGTATGCTTACGTCTAATTTGTTACAAGGACATTCCAATTGAATCACTGCAGGGGAAGAGAATAAGAGCACGGGGGTGTTTCACAAAGATCCTAAGTCGAACTTAACTCTAAGTTGGACTTAAAAGTTATGGAAAGCCGTTTGCATCTTTGAAAATATTTTGTGAAAGTTATTTTAAAAGGCATAAAACGTTGATTCAAATAATTCATATTTTCTATCATCTAGGAGATTTTATGTTCTTGATGTGGAATTTATAAAAAGTCTAAAATACTTGGATTTTTGCGTTTGAATATAATCTATTTCAAGGCTACAAATGGCTCTCCATAATGTTTAAGTCCAACTTAAAGTTAAGTTTGACTTAGGATCTTTGTGAAACAACCCCCTAATCTCATCAATACGTAAAAATATCTTCATGGTTGTTTCATAACTCCAGCACACACAATTGTTTTGCCCACCCAAACAAGGAATTAAGAGGGCATTCACCCAAACTATATCAAATCCGGTCAAAACCAGCGAAGAGTATCGTCTCTCATTCAATATCGATTTAATTTTTGTAAAAGAATATCATAATTTACCGTATCGAATGCTTTCATTGTTCAAGTCGAGCATTACTGCAATATCTACGTTTCCATCATTGATATAATTATGCCGTATATATTTGATCACAATCAATTAATCTAATATTTTTGATAAAATTGGTAGAACCAACTCAACACTCAAGAAAACATGAATGATATGCTCTAATTGCGTGTGTAATGATAACATATTTCTTATAGATTGAACAAGTGATCATCGAGACACAAGGTGACAATGAGACACAACTTACACCGCATTTATTTTGAAAATCTTTTTCTTGCATGCAGCTAATATAGGGGAAAACTGATCATAAGGTTTCAGCGATTTCATCTAACATAATAGGCGTATCATAATTTGTATATGTTTATTCAAAAATAATAACAGCGGACCCTTAAAGTGATGAAATGTTACTTATTATACTACTTCTACTGTACTAACCCCTTAACATGCAAACAATCCTGAAAAAAATTCGTCACTGTGTGACACCCTCTACCGGTAAATTCTCCCAACCATTTCCCCATGAAAATAAGACATAAGACATGCTTTTAAGTATCTGTCAATACTTAAATGTCTGGAATGGTTTATCGAGCCAATTTATTGTTTTGTGACTATTTACATACACCTCAAATGTAATCAAAGTGTAATAATATAGTTGGGAGAATTAAGGTCTATTTTCACACAAACTATCAGATTATCTTTTTTTTAATTCACTACCTTAGCACCATTTTTTCAATTTGAACAATGTTACCAAGTCCCTTTAATGCTTTAGGCGTTCATATTTTAAGAGTTTGTGTATAAGCTTATTCAAATAAACAAAAACAAAATGAGGAAATACTTCGAACACGAAACAATTTGAAATGGCTGAACAGTTCAAAATCACATAAGTAGTCATGCCTCTAGTAAACGTCATCGTGTGAAGCTTACATTCAGAACAATCATGACTATACCACTCGCTACGCCAAATTAACGGTATTATCAATTGGAGCATAACAATAATTAACATTCCATTTATCGACGTATATGTAACAGGAAAAGGTTTGACTGCAAGAAAAATTATTACTTAAATACTGTACTTCTTGGCCCTACAAACATTAGAAGCTGACGTTTGAGGTTTTTTGTTATATAATGTAAAATGGAATTGGTACTCTATTCTGCTAAATGGTTTATCATGTCTTTCTGCATTAAAACTACATACAAAGTTACAAACAATGCACACATGCACATTGACTATTCCATTAATTAATTATCTCATTCAGTTTTCATATTTTTTCACATGTTTTTTCAAATGCTCTTATGTTGAGACCAAAATATTCATGCACCATGTGTTTCCCTGATAAAAAGTATATACAAATAAAAGAACGTTTACATTTTTTAATGTCCATGGTCTCGTGGGGGAGTCCTGACAGTACTGTTGATAAAAGCACCTCCCTATCTCCGGTGTAATAGTCAATGGCGAGCCGGACTTTGTCGCGCGAAAAAGTACCCCTTTACAGGAAATTTTAGTACAGTACATATCAAATATTATTCACATCTGTGTTACAATTATTTGGACAATATATAGCAGTGGCTTAGATAATATAGGAGGGGCACGAGGAGGCTAGTGCCCCGCAATCGAATGGTGAGCAAAAGGCGAGACAACTTAGTGAGAACAGGGTAGGACCGTAGAAGAAGGAGAAAAGAACGAGAAAAGGGGGCCCCTGGACCACCTCTCGCAACCTTCTTCCCCCTTAAACAGTAGCCTTGTAAATTCACATTTTATTTCTAGAGTGATTATAACAGTGTTCCAGCCTCACTGTCCTAATCTTTCCAGTGCTCCCCAATGGATGGTCTTAGGCTACGCCACTGAGTTGAAATACTCACATAAATCATTTTACATTTAAACAGGGGCTACCTTGTTGAAATGATACTAAATCATTATTAAACAAGTGAATAAATATAAAAATGAATAAATATGTTATTTATTCTGTCCGTTATTTTTTTTAGATCAGGGTCCTGTATTATAAAGAGTTGCAATTGATTTTAATCAACCGCAACTTGAAATTAATCATTTCTCTTATATAAGTACACAGTTGCAATAATGTTTAAGTTGTGATTGATGTTGACTAATCGTAACCCTTTACAATTGACTCGGATTCTCCAGAGATGGATGGAGGTTGTGGATCATGCAGAGTACCAGCGAAGATCTTGATTGGCCTACTGCTACTCAAGGCAACAATGGTTCGTCCGGCATCTTCTCAAGGTGTGTTAACACTGCTATTTATTGATGCAAATGGAAAATGGTTGATATATTATTCAACAGATTCATCGGGCCAGAGATGGTCACCAAGTCTATTGCTATGTACAGGTATCACGGGGGCGATGTCTCAGTGGTTCTTGAAGTGAAGGCCAATAACATTGGAAATCCCTTAGACCTCGGGACCTTGGAAGTGACCATCTCTGATGACGTCTTGCAAAAGACGTGCGAAGAACCTATCCAAATATTTGGTATGTATTATTTACTTGGGGCTCATGTTTCACTCCTCCAAATGAACAGAACCTAAAACATCAATAACAATTTTGTGAACCTAGTGTTATGCATCATATACCTGGATGTTCCATTGCAGAAAGGAAATTACATATACAAAACAATTTACACCACATTATTATGAACTACGTACGAATAATGAAAAGTTGAGGTTTTAAGCTCAGATAAATAGAAAGGGGGAAAAAATCTCTTCACCCCTATCCATAGGATAGAAACTTTAGAACTTCCTATATTTTACTTGCCAAATTTCTTATCATTTTGATGATTCCAGAACCTTGCAGTACACATTATGCTAGATGATCAACCTTTTTTGATCGACTCCACAACGTTTCTTTCACAATGCAATCGCATGACCAGAACTGGTCTATACCTTTAACCCCTATCCATAGGATAGAAACTTTAGAACTTCTTATATTTCCTGTCCAAAACTTCTTTTTTTTTAAATCACAGGACGCCCTCTGTTGTCAACGGTTGTACTTATCATCGTTGCGGTGATCGTAGTGACCGTTTTGATATCGGTCATATCAAAAAAAAAAAAAAAAAATGCAGGTCAGTGAAAACATAGGGAATGTATGACGCAGCCGATAAATCGACTTTTACCAGTTAAAAATGAATGATGGTCGAGTTTTCCTAGCAATTTCAACATCAAATATGAAAACACCGTGGACATATTGAAGATTTCCACGTCTGTGAAAATAAGCAAATCTTAAAGCACACAGTGATAGTCCAGAGGTTTTAATCAGAATTAGGGAACTTAAGACCCAATGCGTCAAAGAATGTTGAGAAAGTGATTTGATGCATTAAGCATGAGTAGATAATTGAGGATTTCTTTGATTAAAATTGATAAATGTTATTACCACAGATAAGCTATATACTGATACAAAATTGCTTCAAAAATATAGTGAGACATTATTGTTTTGTAGTTGTATCAAAAAGGCATTGATGCCAGTATGTTTTCAACAAGTGGACTACAAAAATTTGAATCTGATAATAATTTTCATATTGGATTTTCAGTTCTACTTTCCAGGCGATATTAGAAAGTAAACATTCAAAACACATTATATGTCTGTAATTACAAATACGTTTTTATGACTATTGTCATTTCCTTTGTCGGAAAATCGTCAACACTTTGGTAAAGGATAATACTTTTCGCACAATATTTAGTGAATAAAGTGCAATATATTACAGACTTAAATGCATTCAACCATTATTTATACTAGCTATACCCGGTCATTAAATGGTCATTTCCTTTTCTGTCTCCACAGGGCTCTGCGTGCCTGGAAGAGGGCCCACGCAAACTAAACACGAGGAATGTTATCAACTTGCCGCTACCTTTAGATTTAGATTTAGATTTAATGTTTGTAATATATTTATATTTTGATGTTATATTTGATTCTCATTTTGCATAATTTATAGTCGTACTTTTTAGTCATTCATATTTTGTTCGTTTATTGTGTTGTATATTGACTTTGTAAATTGAATTATTTCAGCTTCCCAGCTGCATGTTCTTTTATTTCAATAAACCGAATCAATTTCAATTTCAATTTACCATATATGAGTTAAAGATACCCATTCGCTGTACTATTGACGGTGAATCAAAAAATATGACGACCAATAATAATAATTATAATTATTTTTTTTTTAACCAAGGGTAAGGGGAGCCTCATCAGTAATAATATTGTTCTCTCTGAGGACCCTGCACGTATCCAAATTGTCACACCGACTTTAGCCTAGCTATACCATGAATTGAATGAATGAATTTCTTCCTACCGGTTACTCATTTAACTCAACTGGGTGGAGTGTGGCAAATGTAGATTAATGTCTTTCCAGAAAAACTCATTGAGCCACGGCGGGACTCGAACCGTGAACCATAAGTATGATCCACTGTCCGATGACGTTTCCACTAGACCACGACATATCTATGGTGTCACAACCACGCATCCCACTACCACCACCCCTTTAACAGTGAGAATCCTGGAAACCCAAACATATTGCCAGATACATCCTTCTTTTTTTTTAAGGCAATCGCCCAATAATTAACATCTGCAACATAAATCCTCTATTTCATTCCATTCCCTATTTCTAAGAACAAAAAGCACACTGAGATAATAACGGTAATTGTTATGACTATTTAATTTATACTTTATGATCATTTTCTTTTCCTAAATGTAACCTTAGTTAGTGAGATGCTTTATATACATACATTTGATTTTACTATTTTATCACTGAAATTTACAGTAAACATTTTTTCTTCTTCTTTTAACCAAGTGTGCACAGTGCACCTATAACTTTACATTCACGCCAGCTATAAATATCAGCTTTGATAGAAAGATGAACTTTTTCCGGTTGGTAGGAACCAGTTTAAGAACGTAATAATAATGTGCATTTTGTCATTTGTGAAAACATTTGTATACTATGTTATCTATAACACATGATAAGTTATTTATTTTCAGATAATCCACAATTGTATCATTGTTTGCTAAGTATTTATTACTGATAAACAAAGATTTATGGACTTGGTTTGTCAAAAAGTGGAAACATTAGAAATCATATTTGTGAAGCGTTTAGTAAAGGTTATTGGGGGAAATTTTTTCATAAAACTTACCCCGAATAAATTTGACATCCTTTAAGTTTTTACAATGTGCAGTTATTGTGCCGTTGTCGTGCCGTTATTATGCCGTTATTGTGCAGTTATTGTGCCGTTATTGTGCCGTTATTGTGCCGTTACTGTGCCGTTATTGTGTGATACTAGTGTAAACTTCTTTGAGTTACTAACAACAAACAAATGCCAATGTACTTTTACATTAGGTAACAGTTACTCTAAACCACAACAATACCTTATATACACCGCCAGACTGACTCTTAACCGACTCCACCAAACTGATCGATTCTATGTCATTCGACTTTTTTTTGTTGTTATTTCTGTAATTCTGGAGTTCAGGATCCCGTCTCATTGAAAGTTGCGATTGGTCCAAATCAATCGCAACTGGCAGTCTCCTATCTTGTTTATAATAGTTGCGATTTGTATCAATAGCAAATAAGTTGCGATTGATCTCAACTGTTGATAACACCGGGACTTTATGGAATGGTCTTGTGTTCGTCGATGCTGATGACGAACTTCTTCCTTTCCTCTGCCGACATGCTTTTGAGATGTGCCATGTCTTGTGGCAGTTGCAACACTCCGCCTTGCTGAAACTACACGATTGAGGGGAACGAGCACCTAAACACCTGTAGCCTAGCCTGATGGGTGGAGTATTTCCACATGCAGTCAGACCGCCAAATATTCTTCTTATTATTATTATCATTCCGTTGTAATGATACTTCCATTGTGGTGTATTATCAACTCCAAAGATTATAGCATGACCATGACCATTAGATGCTAGCCTTTATTATGTATTATTTGTTAGTTCTGTCTACAATCGGTCTCTTGTCGTTGTGTTCGACGTGATTGGGGCATAATAGTTGAGGCTTTTGAGAACTTATGGTTTACGTCTTGGGCGACATAGCATCCTGGTGATCGTCAATCTAAAGAGTGGCTGTGCCATGGCGTAAGCCAAAGGGTTAACCAAGCTGTTGCTGAAAGCAATCCAGCGCGTTATCTCAGATAGGTTGATGGATTTGTTGAGAGTACGGTAGAAACCAGGAGCCAAGGCGTACATGGTGACCGAGACGGCGGTTGGTAACCATGTCAGAATGAACACCAGGACAATCATGGTCATGGTCCGCATTGCCTTACGTCCTTCGACTCTGGACTCCCTCTTGGGTTTCTTCGAAACAACGTTGCTCTTTGACGTCGAAATATCTTCATCGTCTCCAGACAGACCTATTGGTTTTGGATAATTATTAGTCGACTTTTTTTCCCCATTTAGAGAGTGCTCATTATCCGTCTCTGGGCTTCCTAGATTTTTGGTCGTTCCTTCATCGCTGGTCATATCCATAGATATACTTGAAACAGTTGTATTTTCATCGTACGTTAACGAGGTTTTCGACCCAAGTTTATCTCGTAGGCGTGTCCCGAGAGAGCGCTTTTCCTTATCCTGGGATGCGGATTTTGCCTGCCCTTTCCCATTTTTCCCCTCCCTATTAAAGTACTTCGAGAGATGCTTACTGCCGATGTTCTTGACCTTGATGTATATTCGGATGTACAGACCAGTCATAAGGAGAAACGGTAAGCCGAATCTCAGTAAGAATACAAGTAGACTTGCGGTGTTAGTGAGACTGTAGTTCGGTCTGGAGAGGCCTGAAGAGATGACAAGGTTGGTTGGTTTGATGAAGTCCCAAGCAGAAGTGACCATCATCCAAACACCGAAAGATGAAACCCAGGTGAGGATGTTGACGACAGTCGCTTTGTGGATACTCCTTCCTTGGTAGTGCTGTATGGGATAGAACGTTGCCAGATAACGATCGATGCATACCACGACAACACCACACACAGACACGCCCAGGATAGAGTTTTGGAACCCCATGAACAAAATGCTTGCTACCTTCCCAAAAGGCCAACTTCCGAAGAGATGGATCATAGACAGAATCGGCATGCAGAGAAGACCCACAACCAAATCCGCAACGCTCATGTTGAAGATGTAGCAGTTGTTGTATGTCCGCAGTTTCTTCTCAACGTAGAAGGTAGCCAGAATGAGGCTATTGGTCGTGACTGTAAGTCCAGAGAGGATCATAAGAGCTAGGAAAGTCACGCTGAACTCTGCCTCGGGTGTGTCTCTGGGTATGTCCTCTGGCAGGTCCAGATCAGAAGACCATGTGGGTCCGTCCGAAACATTCAAGATACCCATCTTGCATAAAGGTCCTAATGGAGAGATACGTCTTATGAGTTCGATGGAATTCTGTAAGAATATCGTTCACGTTGCACACAAAAAAGAGAACTGATTATAGTCAGATAGCCGGCATTGGCGTAGCAGCTCCAACCTATACAGTATAATGTAAGGTTTGTGAATATGAACAGCGTTTTATACTCTCACGTCGGCAGTGTAATCGGAGTGGTAATAGACTATACAAAGTATTTAGAATATGAAAAATAAATTAAGGGGGGGGGGGAAAGGAAATTTGCCTCTTTTCACCAGCCTGAAAAAAGGGTTACGAGAAGAAAAAGAAGAAGTAGAAGAAACCTTTGATAGCCTTTATATTTTTTAGAAGTAATTTCAGTAACCACTTCTCTGCTCTTTCCAAAGAAGTGAAACGCATTCACTCATTATCAGCTCACAAAGAAAAACGCCAGCCCGCTACTTCTACACTTGACGGTCAATTCAATTTGGCAGTCTTCTTTTCAAGCCATCGTCAACCTTCGGGGAATATGATTGTCATTTTTTTTTTATAGTCAATGGGTTCACGATATATTTGTGATCAATCAGTTCGGCACTCCTAGCCCTTTTCTGTTTTATAATACAGTCTTTTTCTGAATATTGAACAAAGAACACTTTCTCCAGGAAGGACCTCGTACTTTTTATGGTTCGATTTTTGTTTTCATCAGCGGGAAAAAAGTAAGGAGAAGAAGAAGAAGAAGAAGAAATCTTTAATGGTTTTTATATTCTTGATAAGCAGCTTTCAGTTAACCACTTCTCTCTCTTTTCAAAGAAATGAAACGCATTCACTCATTATCAGCTCACAAAGAAAAACGCCAGCCCGCCACTTTAAAGAAGAAAATAATTAAAAAAAAACATTGACCTTCTACACTTGACGGACAAATCAATTTTGGCAGTATTCTTTTCAAGCCATCACTTAATGGCACATGGTGCTTATTGTAAACCTCCGGGGAATATGATTGTTCGTTTTTTAGCCAATTGGGTCAAACGATTTATTTGTAATCAATCAGCTCGTCACTCCTAGCCCCTGCCTGTTTTGCTATTTAATACGGTCTTTTTTTCTGAATATTGAACAAAAAACACTTTCTCCAGGAAGGACCTCGTACTTTTTATAGTTCAATTTTTTTTAAAAGAAATGATACGCATTTATTTTTCGTTATGACCTACCTCCAAAAGAAACGTAAGAGCATCACTTCAAGAACAAATTTGTATGAACACATATTCCAGAGACGGAGGTATCCATTATGAAAGTGTCGCTTCCTATTCTTTTTAACTAAGTATTCAGAATATGAAAAGGAAAACAAATACATAAAAGCCAGAAGTTAAGATCTTTCGAACTATAGGGGGAAAAAATCGTTTAAAGTCTTTATTTTCTGTGCATCTCCTGCTACCTATTGCACTCGATCTTTTCAGAGAAATGAAACGCATGCCATTTCGATGCTTGACCAAACAAATATTTTACAAAGGCAAAATGTCAGCGCATCCTTTCAGTTAAGAACACCAAGAAAAAGAATATTGAAAACCCACTTTCACGAGACGTATATATCTTGGTAAAGGTTACAGTCTGACTCTCATAAAACGAATGTATATCACAAAAGACGTAAGCCTTTTTAATTATAAGGTGGAAGTAGTTTTGCCTGGCAATGTTAAAATGTTTAGTGTGTAATAAAATCCACTTATTCAGCGGCATATTGCCGGGGTAAATCAATAAAGAAATGTATTTCTAACCTTGTGTATAATTATGCAAGGCCACATCGTTTTCAAATGTGTATATGCGCATCACAGAAACAAATTCTTTCATTAATACATTTTTATCATAAAATCGATATCATTGCATTTTGCCGATGAATGAAAATAAAGAACCACCCTAATGGACTAAGTGCCTTTCAATATAATACCTATTTACGTTTAGAATCTGGCGGAAAAGAAATCACAAAATGGTTCTACAATCTACACCGTCGAAAAGCTACTTTAAAGAAATCAATTAGTATCATATTTTCAATCTGAAAAGAAAACTTTCAGAAGCGATTTGATATACCGGCGTGAAATCATTTTGAGAACTATTTAATTGATAATGTTGGTATGATTCTAAGGGCAGTTCAAGTTTATTACTGCTCTATGATAAAAGTTAAGTGCCTTTATATTCTACAAATATTCTTCGTGTATGAGATGCTTTAAAGGTAAAATTCGCTCTGATATTAAATTGGTATAACATAAGAAGTAGAAAAATGACAGTAACAAATTAGCAAAGTTTGAGCAATATCCGATATAAATTGGAATGTTATGAATTTTTGAAGTTGTCATCTTTGAAACACCAATTGGTGACAGTGTGGTGGGTCTTGTGAGCTCCTCTTCAATTTGCTTTGTACAATAAATTTCGTCATTATTTTCTTAGTTATTGATGACGGGATAAACTGGTCTCGTATAGGGGTTATCTAAAACAAGTTTGCAATAATTATATTTAGGGTGAGTGCATGGTTGAACATTTTCTGAAGAGAAAATATCAATTTTTTTTATTTTTTTTTATTTTAGTAAAGGACAATAATAATGATAATAATATGCCGTACTTATATATCGCATGTCACAATATGTCTATATGCGCTGTAAGAAAGAGTTAGAAGGAAAGGTGGATAGAGTAACATGAGAAAAGTGAGATATGCTCAACACACTTCCTCTCGTTAACATTGGCAAGTATTTTTGAAAAGAAATGTTTTAAGACGCGCCTTCAAGTTGTCAACAGTATCTCAGTTTTTTTTTTAGATTTTCCGTCAGTTTATTCCAAAGTTCGGCCGATACAACCCGAAAAGAGCGAGACCCGTATAATTTAGTATTTATGAATGGTGAGGAGAGACTTTTGGGAAGATTTGAGGGATCTGTTTGAAATATATACGGTAAGTAATTCCGGTAAATAAGTAGGAGCTATTCCTCTGAGGCACTTAAAGGTTAAAACAAGGATCTTCAACTCAATTCTAGCACGGACAGCTAACCAGTGTAGTTCTTTCAGAATAGGGGAGATATGTTCACGAGATCTCGTAAGAAGCCGTCCGGCAGAATTTTGGATTCTTTGGATTCGATTCAGTTGATTCAGTTGACACATGGGAAGGGGAGCTCGCGAGATAAGTCACAGAGTTGCCAATTTTAGACTGATCGATTGCACATTCAAATATTCATAACTTTCTTGTTTTTAATAGGTTTTTGTTCAAATTTAAACTGTCCTATATCTGTTATTTTCTGCTTCATTTAAAAACCAACTTAATATCAGGGTGGACTTTCCCATTAATAAAACCTTCCTAAACTAAGTGTATTGTGGAAGATTTTTGCGTGATGCTTTGAACCCACATACCTCCACTCACAAGTAAACACACACTCTCTCTCTTTAAAGATTGATTATGTACACGGTCTATTTTTTGGTTTTTGGTTTGTTTTTGTCCCCCCCCCCCCCTCTAGTAGGCTTCTTTTTTTTCTTCTTTTTTTTCACCCTCTCAAACAACAATATAATACTGTATTATACTTTATTACTGTTTTGGTGGCAGCACCAATAAAGCCTTTGGCTTTTCTAGCTGTCTCCACATTCATATATATTTTTGTTGTTGTATTTGATGTTTTTTGTGTTAATTTCTTGGTTATATTTTAAACCGAACTTTAACCACGATTATTTTCATTTGATTCTTTTGTTAATGAAGGTAAGAGTGATGCCATAATGGTAATTAAAGAACAAGGAGATATTATCGATGGTAAAGGTAAAGTTGGTATATTTCATTCGTATTTAAACGGGTCTGCAACTGTTACGACCAGTGTTTGTTTCCTTCTTCTTTCATATTTTAGAACTGCAACTTTAAGAAGAGCAAATGTTGGGCTACATATTTTCCACACTAGAGTCACCGTCCATTTTGATAACGAGAGAAAGGCGCCGTGAAGTCTAATATGAACACCCAAGGTAGAAAAAAGCCAATCAGAATTTTAAAAAGTTTACCTCTCACTTTTAATTACACGATATTGGCATTCAATGCCCAAGAGATTGGTTTGAAGGAAAGAAATTTGAGGTTAGAGTAGGTGTCCTCCCAGAAATGGCAGTGTGTCACTGCTTAGATAATTATTATTTATTTAAACACCTGATACGTCACTGTAGTGGCAATGTTGCATTTTCATGTTTTCACGAAATTTAATTCACGTGCAATAGCTTTAGACCACCATTTCTCAACCCTTTTTTCAGTCACGGCATCATTTTCAGAAAATAAAAGGTTTCGCGTCACTTCAATCACACATTCACCACAGAATATTTCTTGTGCATCATTCTGAAACTCGAAGAGTGCCATGTACACACTTGTGCATACTCGTCTTTCATATTTGCAAGCAAGCGAGCCAACCAAAATGCATATCTAATATGTTAAAACATCATTTTGTACTCAGGATACTATTATGATATGAACAAATATATGCGCGCTCCCCGCCGCCAAAAAAATGATTTTAATGAACGAGAGAATCGATCGAACGAGCGGTAAAAAAAGGCAATTTTGATATAAAATGTTATAAAATATATTCGGGCACCTCATCTAAAAAGCATTGTGGTATTCAGGCATGTTTGTGCCTGAAATCATGCTGTTTCTGCTTTGATATGAGGTCATGGATTTGGTTCAAATGAACATATTGGAAGCAAATGCAATCCCACAATATTCAATAATCGTTGTCGCGGTTGAAATCAAGTCTAAAGCGATGAAATTGTGAATAATAAACTCGTTATGTTGTATAGCTCCCTCTCAGGATTGATATTACTTTAGCTTCACCACAATGTTTCTTGATTATAATCGACCGATATTCTATTCCCATTTGGAAATTATATATCAGAACTGCATATTCCGAGATTTTCATGGTCGCAGCTATCTTTGTATGGACGTAGGCGCTATTTGAAATCTATCGGGAGCACCGATAAATTTCACATTTTAATTTCTCGGAATCCTTATCGTTTTGCAGCC